ACCGCTTCATCCTCACTAGGGTTGCGGGGGGTGCTGGAGCCTATCCCAGCTGTCTTCGGGCAGTAGGCGGGGGACACCCTGAACCCGATGCTAGCCAATTGCAGGGCACACAGATATGAACAACCATCCGCGCTCACACTCACAGCTTGGGACAATTTGGAGTGTTCAATCAGCCTGCCATGCATGTTTTTGGAATGTGGGAGGAAACCAGAGTACCCGGAGAAAACCCACGCAGGCCCGGGGAGAACATGCAAACTCCACACAGGGAGGCCGGAGCTGGAATTGAACCCGGTACCTCTGCACTGTGAAGTTGACGTGCTAACCACTGGACTAACCGGGCTGCCCATTAATTGATCTAATTAATCTATATTTTAATCTCATCTAAAAATTGCTGAGAAACACCCTATTTTCATTTTAAATTCATTACATTATTGAGGCAGATCAAAAGATTGATATCACAAAAAAGTGGCATTATAAAGTCTTTTATTGTTTTCAAACAAACTTAAACAGATGCAGTCCTAGCCATCTACTTTCTGCTGTATTTGTGACTAGTCCCAAGGCCGAACTGCAACCTTTCGTTTCGACCACGAAGGGGAATATGACTGTTTTGTTTGTTTTTGTTAATCTCCAAATAATTACAAAGTAAAAATAAAAGAGAACATCAGGTCCATAAAAAAGTGCTTGGGTTAACATGTCAAAAACTGTATGAACACTTTTCTGAGCAATATAAGTACTGAACACTAAACTTGCTTCGGATAATTAAAAAGTAAATAAAACAGACCCTTAAATCGCAGTGCTCTAAGTTAGCACTTCAGAAATAACACTGTTCATCATTAAAAATCAAAAATTTGCATTCATCATTGCTGAAATAAACATCAATCACTTCTATTAGGCTACAGAGGACACAGCAGTTATGCTGACTTCGTGCCTCTTACGTGGGGTGTTCTCCTCGAGTTTAAGTTTAGCGAAGAGCTTGCTATGGCTCTCAATATTGCCAACGTATTCGGTGCTAACATTAGCTGTGGCTGCACTCGTGAATGGGCACTTTGCATCATATGGTAGGCTAACCTTGAGCTGCTTCGATGGGAAGCAAACTCCTTCTTACAAATTAGGCACAACACTATATATATCTTGATCAATAGTACCGTCAGGGCGTTTTTCGAATGTAAATTTTCCATTCACTGGGCCTAGAACTCCTCACCGCTGCTGACCTGGCCATTCCAACTGCAATGGGAGCCTATCATCTTCTGCTCAACAAGCCCAAACATAATGACAGCCAATCAATGTCCGCTTCGGGCAGTGACTGACCGTTGTTTCCCACCCTTAACAACTCGAACACTGGAGGCCAAAACATAAAAAGGGATATTATAGAAAGGCAACCCACCTATAGAAACAATAAAGTTAGAGATTAAAATTTAGATTAGCACGATTAAAAAACATAACACGCTAAATATGACTGTAATTAATTATTCGCAATTCACGCGATAATTAGACACCTCAAAATATTTTATGATTGAAAGAGAAAAAAAAATGGCCAGGCTTAAATAAGCTTTTACTTCTGCCTGTGCCATTCTGGAACCAAATCTGTATGGTTTTTTTTTTTTGGTAATAGTGTGAGCATTAAGGATGACAGAATAAACAGCAAACACACAGCCTAAACAATGTCAGTATTTTCGGTCTACTTTTGTGTGTCATGTTTAGAGAGTATAGAGAGACTTATTTTTTTTCCTCCCCAAGGGGAGGTGCCTAACACTGTTTTCTTCATTCCAAGTATGAATTGCATTGTTGCTTTTTTGCGTGTGTGTCCACTTGCAGAGTATGCAGGAAAATGGGGGTGACAAAGTGGAATACGTAACCATGGTGATAATTGTCACTGGGAGAGAGGATTCTGTGCACCCACGCGAAGACAATAAGATAGTCATTGACACAACATTTGGGTGCAGAACAAGCTTCTCAATTCAGTATTGTTTAAATTGCCCTAAGCCTAAATATTGACTGTGGTGGATAATTTCAATATTTGGACTGTATTGGACTGTAAAACCCAAGGTCAAAAGCAAAGATCCTGTGGGACTTCCAGATACAGACTGACAAGATGGTAATGGCGAACCAACCAGATATCGTGATCATAGATAAAGGGCAGAGGAAAGCCATTGTAGTGGATGTAGCGACCCCAAGTGATGGAAACATCAGAAAGAAGGAACACGAGAAACTGGAGAAATACCAAGGGCTCAGAGAGGAGCTGGAGAGAGTCTGGAAGTTAAAGGTGACAGTCGTGTCTGTGGTGGTTGGAGCACTCGGGGCAGTGACCCCCCAAACTGAATGAGTGGTTGCAAATGATCCCGGGAACATCGGACATCTTAGTCCAGAAAAGCGCAGTGCTGGGAACAGCAAGGATACAATGCAGAACCCTAAAGCTTCCTGGCTTCTGGTAGAGGGCCTGAGCTGAATGGGGGACGGACAACCCCCAAGGGGTGAGACGAGGATTTATTTTAAATATATATATATATATATATATATA